ATAAATAACAAATGTTAATACTGTTCAAATTGGTGACCTGTAGCATCAATACAATTCTGAGTACGAGTCACCACAGATTCTGTACATCGTATCAAAACGTCCAATGAGATTTCTCTACACACTGCTTGAATCTCATTCCAAAGAATGTCTAGGTTACGTGGTTTACGTTTGTACACCTCATCTTTTACTGTGCCCCACAAGAAGAAATCCAGTGGTGTAAGGTCTGGAGAGCGTGCTGGAAACTCGATTGGCCCCCTGCGTCCTATCCACTGGCCCGACAAATTTTGATCCAGGTAAGCTCGTACGTCCCTGTGATAGTGCGGCGGAGCACCATCTTGTTGAAAATAAAAATCATCATTACCGTATAATGCACGAATGGCAGGAAATATGGAATCAGCAAGCATTGTTAGGTAATTAATACCAGTTACAGTGCCTTCAAATCGAAAAGGTCCAATGAGTCCCCTTGAAGACAAACCGCACCACACATTTATACCAAGCAAATTTACAGCTTTTTCAATTGTAATGTGAGGAGTTTCTTCATCCCAGTAAACACAATTGTGCCTATTGACAGTTCCATCAAGTTTGAATTGGGCTTCATCCGACCAAATGATGCTACCCATAAATCCCGGTTCACGTATCCCGTATCACGTAATAACCTGCTTACGTTCTTCAAAACTCAAACGTACGTCCCCCAATTTGTTGATATTACAAATTCCAACTGATAATATAACATAGAGGGACTATTATGCTGGCACCTGGCGAAGAAATACAACATTAGCCTTGTAGAGCGGAAAAACTACAATAGTTTAAAGTGTGTATACATTTTTTTGAAGCACTCTGTATCTCTAGTATTTTTTGAGGAGAATTAGACAGCTCATTAATTTCCTTTCCGTGACAAATTTTATTATCAGATCGGTCGAAATTTAACGTTTTTTATTTGATATTGTTTTGATTACTTCTGACTGACAGACGATAGTCACGTAGCTTCAGATGCAAAATTTCGCAGACTGTGTATGCGAATCTCAGCCTGTGTAATATTTGTGCCAAAATGAAAACCAAAAGCTTTTGGGTCTTGAATGTTGTGTGTGGCACTGCGTCCAAGTTATTCGTATCGCCTTAAAAACAGGATAATTATGTGCTGTATTGTGTTGCGACCATATGATACATATATTCATAACCTTCGCAATCACCATCGGTCAGAAAAACATTATTCTTTGTTACTGCCCCCTACTACATATACATGCTAGCTACATATATAAACGTATATGTGTGCCCGCTACATGCTCCATACTTAGTTTCCACACTTTCTATTTTTTTTATAGTATAGGGTTATTTGCCATTGGTTGACTATTACCCCACTCGATGGTAAGTGGAAATGTAGCCGATGATAAAGCGCAGTGACCTAGCGTAACTAAAACCTTTTCACTTATATTATATTATTTCAACTAATATCATTAAAATATTTCAAACTTATTACTATTAAATTTTATTAAGTATTGGTTTGAAAGTAAGAGGTCTACACAGAAGATAAATTTGATATTTTAATAAATCATAAGTAGTTTTTTAAATCCAATGCTGGATCCAGGCCTTTCCAAGTATGTGAAGTCTAACTTCCGTCAAATTACTTGTTACTTGATCGCAGTGTCCTCGAATCATCAATTATCAGGTTGAACCACGTGCACGTGGGGTTGGCATATTATTTTCCTTTTATTAAATTAAATAAATAAAAAAATAACACACCGACTAACTGGAATACTTTTATCTCTGTTCTCCTATTTATTGCCTTTTTTATATAATAAGGGTGAAAAACTAATACACAGTCCACCTGATGGTAAGTGGATGCTGTGGCCCATAGAATATATTTATACTTAAGAATAAATATGCAGATGCGTTTTTATCTTTGAGTATTAAGAAGATAGATTGCCTCGTTTCTAGTAAAAAGAATCTCCGGTTCTTTACACTCACCATACGAAACACAACAACATTTAGCTGCTTTACGTATCTATAATAGTTCTATTAATACACAATACGTATATATTATTTAAGTCACGTTCCACTAATTTCTCACCACGCCATGGTCTAAAGACTGACAGAGTATGGTAACTCGCATTAAGTCCGCCCTTTGTAACATTTATGGTTATAACATTATTTTTTTAAGTAAATAAATACACGTTTTTTTATTACATAATAATATTAGTTCCCTAAACGAGGCATCTTCTAGTAGATACTACTAGAAGATGCCTCGTTTAGAGGCTAAACACGTGTATTACCGACAGTGGTGTGTCTTTTCTAGTGTATGTTGGGTGGTGTTGAGATTAGTAGTGATGGGGATAGTGCACGCAATTGAGGGGGGTGGGAGATACTCGACAAACTAGGTGAGAAACATAATTTTATTAAATTACGCGAATGTTAGCTAATTAGTTTTCAAAATCTGTAGCAAAGTAACTTTAGATTCTAATTATAATAATAAGTTCAATTAGACATTTTTATAACTATTAAAATTGCATTAAAATGGTAATGTAACTTCAGTTTTACCATTCCTAACTACATACTACATGATATTTCGCTCATTGTAAACCGATTGTAAGAATTTCTTTAGCGAATAGGTCTATAACCTAGTATATAGACCGAGAATAGACCTCGGGGACGGTTGTATTTTAATATGCAGTAAAAATTCTAATCCTAGACCGAGAAAAATATTCTATGAAATTTTAATGTAAAAACCATACAGACGATGTTCTGCCTCTAACTTGAGTTGTTGTATAGCAACTTAAACAAATGAAACAATTAAGAGGGCATATGCGTTTCGCGTCGAAAACTACATGTTTTATGGTTTTTCCAAAGGCGATATCGTAACGATGTGAGGAGATTATTTGCTGAAAATTAGGGCTTTAGAAAGATGAAGTCTTTATTTAGTACATAACAATGCAAAATCACAGTTTTTAATCACGGTTTTTAGGGCGAAGACAATCTTACCTTCACAGTGTTTTACGAAAATATGCATCAGAGTTATTTTTCAGGTTGAATACAACCATTATTATTAGCTAAAGTACTTTATTTTAAGCGTTACTATAATGGAATATATAGTTTTTTAGTGTATAACAAAACCTAAATTACGAAAATATATCGATTTAATATTACAAAATAATATTATAAAATCACCAAAACTGTCTACTTCAATGTAATTTTTTCCATGTATTTGGTTATAAACGTATCTATTTTAATTATTTTATCCAAATACATGTAATGTTAAATATCCGAAAAAAATTTTAGCTCGTTTTATTTTGTCAATTATTTTATAAAATTATTTTAAAAATACTATAAATCATCACATGCGCAGACGCTTTTCGATTCAGTACGCTCTGGGTAATCCCAACGACAGGACGTATTAGTTTTTCTCACCGACACCGCGCGATCGCGATGTACACCGATAGGGCTATATTACACTATACTATAACTAGATACCTATAGCACCATCGAGCATTTTAAACGATTGAGACTTTTATAAGCGATATTTTTGATAGTAAGTAATTTTTAAATATGTTTATGATAGTAATATTTAAATATTAAATGATGTAATGGTGGCAAATTTTTAAAATAACCAAGTCTCGCAATGATGATACGGCCGTGCCGCTGTTTTGCTCGACTTGGCGGGGGCACTACCGTGCCCCCAGATATCGCGCCGGAAACGCGAACAATCCGGGTTCGATCCCCGCTAGTGTTGCCTGGTGTCCCGATTTGCGCGAGACGTCCCGATTTTCAAGGGTCTAGTGACACGTCCCGATTCACCCTTGATCGGGACGCCAAATGTCCCGATTTTCACTAACCTTATTATTCTATACTTTAATCCATAATTTTGACAGCAAAAATAATTACATCTGTTAGCTACTACCACATTATAATATTTTTACTACGACATTGTCTCACCAGTCAAAAAAAAAAATACAAAAGTTTTAAACAGAATTATATTAAAATGATTGATTTGAAAAATTCAGGGACTGCAAAAAAAAAACAAATAGTTTAAAAATGTTTTAATTTGCCTAAAATGAAAAAAAAATCAGATTTTACGATGTTTGGATGAAAAGTTATTCGTTCATGAGATCAGAACCGAATATTAATTATAAAGCACAAAAGTAAAGTAAAGTTACAGTCACAATTTCTCGCATTACTCGCATACTGTGATATTTACAGTGACCGTTGACCATCTGAGCTACCACGGCTCTCAATAAAGCACAAAAAGGTTACAAAGAAACCTATATTTTGTAGTCATTGTAGATGTCAGGATATGAAAACCAAATCCCCGATTATTTTTACCTTCCGTCCCGAAATTTTACTTGCTGGACCTGGCAACACTAATCCCCACCGACACTAATGAAATTGTTAGCTTGATGAATTATGTTTACATTATGAAACAGAATAAAAGTTTATCAAATGATATATATTTTATACAATATATTTTATATATTTTTCAATTAGAACATATATTATAATATACTCAATAGGGTCAAAATGTAAATCCGACTTCAATTTACTAAAAGAATAAAACAATTTCCACATATTAGTCTCCGATTTCTATACACTATATAAGTCATTATACGGAAATAATTTTTTATGTCCAATAGTATCAAAGAAGTATATAATCAAAGATCAAGTGGTGCATAGGCTGAATGGTAGATTCGACTTGGACAATTTGAATATGCGCTCTTAAAGTTTAAAAACTGAAAACTATAAAAATTAAGAATAAAGTAAAATGTAACTGACATGATGCAATAGCTCTGAATTCGGCTTGAATTCTTCACAATAAAACCTGACATCAGAAGTTATACAATTTCCACATAATAATTTTGTAGATTTTTTTAACTTTTTAAACATCTTTTAGGGATAGTTTCTTGTTTTTGAGTTGAATCAATTTCTATAAAGGTTCAGAAAACGTTTAGTGTTTTACGGCAATAGACAATCCCATATTAATTCCATTTAAGTAGAATCCTGAAGGTACTCACCAGAGTTGATAAAATTAACAAAATATATAAATAACGTCAAACTTATTATAAACAATTTCATTGTTTTCTAGATTTTCGATTATGACTAGAGACTCATTGAAATTTAAATAAAAACTGACTGAAGTATAACCGTCGCACTTCTTTAAATTATTTATATGCAAAAGTGAGATGGCGTTATCGAACGAATGTAATACATGATAACCTCTCGAGCGCCGAAACGTCAAATGTCATAAAATCGAACAGCGCCAAGGGCAAATTTAGCGTATGAATTAGTATGAATGTAATTTATTTATTTATTTATTTACACTTTATTGCACCTTAATAAAAATGATTACAAAGGGTGGACCTAATGCCATTAGGCATTCTCTCCCAGTCAACCCGGGACGTTTGGAAATTATGTGATAGGCGACAAAATAAAATGAACAATAGAGTAAAACAACGAAAAAAAAACTACTGATAAACTTAAAAACAAACTAATATTTTATATACAAATCCCATAAACTTATATACTCCAAAATATAATACAGATAATATATAATATATACATACATATTCATAGATACATAAATATATACATATTTTAAATACAAATACATATATAATATAAACCTATAAATAAAATAACAAAAAAGGTAACCAAAATTAACCATATTAACTATCATCTAATATTTTCATAAAATGCTTATGTACCAATCTTTTAAAGGCAGTCTTATTAGATGTTTTTCTGACGTCATCGGGCAAGGAGTTCCAGAGCAGTGCAGCCTGAATTGTGAAGGATTTACCAACAAAATTAGTAAAATGTAGAGGGATACTTAGTTTATTATTATATGAGGAACGCAGAGTTCTATCATGCGTTAGGGAAATATATTGAAATTTCTCCTTGAGATAAGAAGGAGTGGATGGATCATTTAAGATAGAGAAGAGAACAAGCTTCTGCACGCATCTGTTTAATAGTGAGCCATTTTAGGCGAGAGCGATAGTGAGAAATATGATCAAATTTACGGAGATTGAAAATGTATCTGACACAATTGTTGAGAAGGCGCTCTAGCTTGTTGAGAAGATTTTGGTTTAAATCCGGGTAACACACGTCTGCATAATCAATGATTGGTAGTATAAGTAATTGTACAAGCATAATTTTAGTCTTAAAGGGGAGAAAAATTTTCAATCGATAAAGAGAACGTAGAGAACCAGAGACTTTACGACATGTTTCGGAGATATGAACCCCCCAGGACAGAGTACTATCAATATGGAGACCAAGATTTTTAACTGAGGGAGAGAACGGTATCAGACGATCTTTATAATAGAGGGGAGGTAGACTAGCGGCATCTATTTTAGCAAGCATCCTTGAGCTGCCCACAATCACCGCTTGGCATTTCGTAGGGTTGACAGACACTCCAAAGCGCATAGACCAATCACAGACTGACTTGAGATTTGAATTCAATTTGTTAATCGCATAATGGATGTCAGAAATGTCAGACTGTACATAAATTTGTAGGTCATCAGCATACAGATGGTACGAACAATTAATATTAGATGTGATGGAATTAATAAAAATAGAGAAGATTAATGGAGAAAGTATACCGCCTTGCGGTACGCCAGAAATCAGGTCAACCCACTGTGAAGTCATTTGCTCCTCGTGGATAGACTGTTGACATCTGAATGTAAGTGAGCGGTCAACGTTTAAATGCTGATTTCGACGTTAATTCATTTATAAACACTACACAGTATTCTTATATTCAGAATCTACATGAAATTTGCTTTATATATAATGTATATAAAATTAACTAATTCTGATAACAAGTGGAAATATTTCAAACGTCTGATCACACAAATGTACAGACGTATTTGTAGAAATTTATTAATAATATATTATAATCATTTAAAAATCAATATTGATCATTAATAGCGTGATAAAAGGTCTTATAATATTATTAATCAGTTATTTTATAAATAAAAATAGGTAAAACCATCCTCTTCTCATAAAATTAATCAAAGAAATAAATTTAAAAGCTAAGTTTAAGTAAGGACTATTTAAGCATTTAACATAGGCTCCGTATATTTTTTGTTTTAAAAATGTTTTAAACAAACTATACGTAACTTTTTTATAACCTAAGTATTAATTCTAACGTAATTTAGTGTGTAGAGTGTTCTCGCTGTTTGGAGCTAGATTATCAGTGCAAAGTTGATGAAAGTAATCCAGTGAATTAGTGAGCTATAAATTGTTTATTGTATTCTCAGATGAAGTAAAAAAGGTAGATACAGCGCGGCCTTTGTTATTGGTGAAGCCAAAAAACTCCGCTCTTTTATGTAAGCACACGCGTTCACGCACACACATGCATCAAACTACGCTCATTTTCGCTCAGTACTTCCCGGGGCGTTGTGCAGTAAATTTACCTACAAAATACCGTCCTGTGTAATTAAATGGCGCAAAAATAATACTAAAGTGAAAAAAAGTCTGAAGTAATATCGTTTCACTCGTTAACACTCATTTAACTATATTTTAATTTGTTATTCCAACACAATTTTGAAGGTTATTCGAAGCACGAATGTCAATGTTTCGAGATTACGTAACGGGAGAATGTTGCCAGTATTTCTTATTTCTAATGGTCCAAGATTTGGGTAATTAATTTTAGGCTAAGTTATAAAAATATATGTAGTCAGTTGTTTTTTAATTAGTTGTTATTATGTTGCATTAAATTAAAGTCAAGGTAAACATTTAATTTTTTAAGTCGCTGATGTTCCTGTTTTAATTGTTGAGTACTGACAAACTATTTTACTATCAAAAAATATTTATGATTTTAGGCTACCAACGAATATTTTAATAAGGCATGAATTTTTTACGTGGTAGAGCCATGCTGCAGTTATACTATTAGTAGTATAGTTGTAGCACGAATGGGTCGGCTCGACCGGGGAAGGACCACGCTCTCACAGAATACCAGCATAAAATAGTAGCTTAATGATGCTGTTTCGTATGGTGAGTGTAGAGAACCGGAGACCCTTTTTACTGGAAACGAGACATTCCATCTTTGTCCTCACGGGTGACAACGCGTCTGCATTTTGATTCATAATCTAGGATATATGTACATATCTATGGGCAACAGCAACCACTTACCATCAGGGACTATATGCTCATTGTCACCTTATCCTATAAACTGCTATAAGACTGAGCTGAAATGAACCAAAATGGTCGCCATCCTTTTGACTTGACAGTGGTAGAGACACGCAGCGGCTATTGATGTCGCATGGATGGGCCAGCTTGAACCGGGGTGGTACCACGACCTCACAGAATACCTTCGTGAAGTAGAGGTTTACCTCTACGTTTCGCTTGGGCTGGAGGCCCATTTACCCCTCCCCCTTAACATCGTAGCGGAATCAAATAAAAACCTGTTAAATAAAAACCTCACTCCTGGTGACGGAAAATCTCTCGCTGAGCATCCACGACCAAGCTACTTTACTCTTCCTGAGCGTGGATGCTGAGGCTGCTCCGCGTATTCTGGGGGAGGGGAGGGGGGCTCTCGACTCTGCTCGCGACTAAAACTGCTAGGCGCAAGCGGAGCAATAAGACCAAGGTGACCCCTGTCACGCTATCCGTGATTTTTTGCAACATCAGGACACTTCATTCCAATCTTAATGCTGTCCACTACCACTCGGAGACGGCAAAGCCGGCCTTGCTCTTTTGAACCGAGACTCAGGTGTCCTCTCCAGCTGATACTTCATATCTCTCCTACCCGGTGTACAAAATAGAACACTCCTTTGTGCCCCCGACTGGAGTTTGTTCTATTTTGCATTTACTAAAATATACTTTTTTCATTTAAAAAAGTATATTTTTAATTCCATGGAAATTTATTTTTTATTCCAACTAGTTTTTTTTGTATTAAGTTATTTTTTATAATCAACATGTTTTACATTACATATGTTGTATATTTTATCGATGCTTACATGTTCACTGGACAATCTATCAAGAATACTTTTAAATGATCTACAGACGCCTCCTCCGTGCTTCATCTTTTTTAAATTGTCAAATTGTTGAAATTTATTAAAACAGACAGATATACTTTCGCATTCGCATCGAAAATTACTAATTAATATAAATTTATACTATATACTACAACTATAATAATAATTATAGTTGTAGTATTGTGTCTCGATTTTCAGGGACTTTAAAAAAAAGTGGCAACACTTCTCTGACTCACACAAAGTTATAAAATTGGTTACAGTTTCTTGTTCTAGGTGCGATATCTACCTTTTTTTACTTCACCTGAGATTGTATTGAATTTATTGTAATAAGACAGTATTTTTTAAAGTGAAGCGCTAAGGTACAGTACTAACAAACTAAGTCACAGTGCTATCAACGTTTTATTTTTGTGTTTAAGTGACAAAACATAAATTTAGTTTTAAAGTGACGGTTACAGTAGTTTGAAATATTTAAATTTATGTTACTCGTACATCTATATCTGATACATGTACATCTGATTAAATCAGCGACATCTATGTGATAATTAATTACCTGAAGAAAATAACTATTTTTGAATTATCACGCCATCTAATAATTACTGGCGAAATATAGTTACGAACTTATGCTAATCGATCAATTTGATTAAGCCTACGATCACCCATTAGAGGGCGCGCGCATTCATCTGATTTGGGAATATTTTAATTTCGAAGTAAGTCCTAGATAGTTCTTTTGAATTTATTGTATGAAAGGATATCGCCACCAACCGAGACTTGTGGTGCACGTGCGGGACCTTTATCGAAAAGAGAATATCTACGTTGTTGTAATTGTAAAGAAGTTTATGATATTGAATGTCTAAATATAAGTAGTAAACGCTTTTATTCTTTTCATTCGTTTAATAAAGAGCGTAAAGATAATTGCAAATGCATTTCATGTACAGCGTACTGCTGAGTCTGAAATTTCTAGTCTCCCGGCTTTGGTTGTCTCACCAGAGAACTCCAATGTGGCAGCAAACTACCTACAAAAAATACTCAGGACAAGAACATTCATGAAGAGGAGAACATCATCATGGAGAATATTATGTCAGAATCGCTCCGTGATATAGCTAT